GAATGAGAAATAACAAAAGTTTGTCTTGCTTTTCCCGGTCAATTAAATAAAACTTTATACTGAATGCGTAATTAGGACGTGCATAATATATGCACCAGCCATTCAAATTCTAATAACAATAGATTACTTCAATATTTTGCGCGTAGGCATGCAGTCTCTGAGTGCCCTCTAGTTCAGTCCTGTTTTCATCAGTATTGCATCAACCTGTGCGTTTTCACGCGTGTAAGCTTAGACTGTTTCTTTTTACAATAATTATTGTGCTATTACTTCCCTAACTGTGTTTATCCTAACCCACCCTGTCAACTTTCCCTGTGGGAGGAAACCGGAGCGTCCGGAGAAAACCTACGACTCTCGGCAGAGCGTTGACTGACTCTTTTCACACGAGTCCACGCACGAGTCCATAGCGAGACTCGAATCCACGATCTCAGAGGTGAACGGCGCTTGCCCTGAAGACTGCGCCAGAAAGGAAAGAGAAATATTTTGTGCATACAAATGTTTTACATTACAGTAGTGTTATAGCATTAGGTTAGTTTAAAATTGATGAGAAATTAGGGAAATATTGTCTTGGTTTCAAGGGTAGAGTAAACTAGATGTGTAATTATAACCGTTGTATATACAGTCTCTGAGTGTCCTCTGTAGTTTAAACCATAGTCTTTCGAGACATGGTCTGGAAACTCAGTAAACTTCAAAAGCGGTTATAATGAGCTGGGATTTTATGTTGAGCCGTTCCTTACACCGTGCACATCCTTTGTTTTAGGTTTATTAATATTTAAATAGCATGGTTGAATGACTGAACTGAAACGTTGCTATTGGATGATTCGTTCATTATACTGAAATACAATGTGTTCATTGACCGTGCACCGTGCACAAAACTGCATAAACGCGAACAAAAAGATAGAACAAAGACTTTAGCGGAGTTTCCAAACCTTGTTTTGAAAGACTATGTTTAAACTGTGGTCATTACTTATGAAATTTCACCAACCTGAAGTGTTTTTTTCGCTTTGTTTCTCTTTCCAAGCGTTAAGATAATCTTTCCCTCCAGAACTCGGCGCATCCAGACTCTTCAGTGTCACTTTCTCTTTACGAGGTGGCGCAGCAGGAGACGATGAGACAATCTTCCCGCCATAAAAGAACGATTCACCCGCAACTTTCTGCTTTAGATTACTGCCAGGAAGTTTTGATGGCGCTCCGTATCTACAACAAAGAAAAGGTCTGTTGACATGGAGATAGGGTAAACTTAGAGCCTGGGTTACCCTTGTCTATAGGCGTTCCGTTAACATGCAAGCTAGTGAACATCCAGTGAACTGTAATAACACCTTCCCCTTGTAATGACACCTTCGTTCCCTTAGAGTTCACTGGTCTCATCCAACTATGCATGGCTCAATCATGACAAAAGGACTTTGTTTATAAGGGGAGCCAGGTAGATGCATGAAAGAGTACAGTATTGACGGTAGCAATCAAAGAATCATGGATCAAAAGAACTAGTTTCATATGGTGTTGTGTACTCAGGTGAATATGATGTTTGTGGTGTTACTCTGAGTATGCATCCACACCGGGATAGCTGAAAGGTTTGCCTGTCCACGGTTGGAATCGAACCCGAGACCTTTGGGATACTAGTCCAATGCTCTACCAACTGAGCTACAAGGTCAAGTCGGTTCGAGTTGGTGATATTTCGGAACTGAGTCTAGTTCCTTCGATACTTTAGCCCTACTGGCAGAATTATCCTACTGATAGGGTCACCCTAGCTCCAACTAAACACCTTTGGTGCGTTGAAGTCTCATCGGTTACAAGTCTCTGTAGACTCCGTTCCCCAGCAAAAGTACAAAATTCACCGCATTAGTTTTGAAAATTACTTCCGAGGGCCGAAGACCTACCCCTGTTGACACTCCATCCTTTTTGACCGTTTCTTCGAGTACTCGCGTTGAACATGATATTGACAAAAATTGCCTTCAGCCCTAAAACAAAATAAAAAATTGCCGTTAGTACGATTGGTTAGATCAATAGCTCCAAGTCAAAACCTGGTTAACGGAATATTTTAGACAGCCATTGAATATATTCTGAACATATAGAGTCCACTGGCCAGGCTCTTAAAACAACATACTTGTTGATGAAGTTAGAACATCGCTTCCCGTCAGATTTCCTTCCTGAGTGACAAATTCCAAAATCCTGAGACATTCCAATCATCATTAACTTTTTTGGATTGTCAAGACTGAAAGCAACAACACTCGATTGTCTCTAGAGGAAACGAAGAAAAAAATTGCTCATAACTTCAAAAACATATGAACAAATAAAATACAAGCACACTACATACCTCTCTTGGGGGAAGTACAGCGGGATTAAGCAAAGCAACAACACTTCCTTCGACTGTTTTCCAATGTTCTTTGTGATTTTCACCAAAGAGAAATACTGATATTGTCGAGTTCTGGAGATGAAAGGCGAGGTCAGATAATTTCCATATACTGTAGGCTTCACCCTTGAATGAAAAATAGAGAATTAGGAAAAGGACTGCTTTTTTGACAAGTTTTCCTTGACAAGTTTTGTTTGCTCGTGTGCACGGCAAAAAATTGACCATTTTTCCTTGCCAAGGAACTTGTTCCAGTTGTGTTTTCACTGCTTGTCAAGTTGTCAACAAGTTTGGAACAAGCTGTTGATAATTTGTAACATCCTTGTTGATATTATCAGATTTGTTGCAAGGGGTTGTTCCAACAAGTACGATACAATAATGATATAAGAGTATTGTTACAACCTCGTAACATTCTTGTTATATCATGACTGTATATAAATCAGCCTTGTTAGAACAAACAAGTCTGATAATGCCATCACGCTTGTTACAACTTGTTACCAGCTTGTTCCAAACTTGTTACATGATATAAGAATATTGTTACGACCTTGTGTCGTCAACCTTCACCTTGTAACATTCTTGTTATATCATGACTGTATCAGCCTTGTTAGAACAACCTTGTAACAAGTCTGATAATGCTATCACGCTTGTTACCAACTTGTGTTAACAGCTTGTTTCAAACTTGTTACAACAACTGGAAACAAGCAGTGCGAACACAACTTGTCGACAGCTTGTGAACAGATTTGCATAACACCTTGTTTGCAGACCTGTAACAACTTGTGCATTTTTACATGGGTACTCAAGACATTCATAACCTATCTACTCGTTCGCATGCATCAGATGAAAATCGAACTAAAAGTCGCAAAAAATGCTAAACGCGTTGCCTCATAATTCGAAATTTTTAACAATACGCGCGCACGCGCATGTGACGCGGACACCGCAATTAAATTACGCAAGAGAATCAATTAACTTCATAGTCAAATTCTCTTTTCGTGCGAAAAGGTTTGTGAAAATTGTGTGCGTGCGAAAAGCAATATTACGAAGCGGAAATTTTATTTCAGAGCGATTAAAATGGGAAACTTGTTTTCCCTTGGCGACAATTCGAAAGCTGACGAAGATAAATGGTTGGAAATTGAAAAGGTTCCATATGAAGACAGCTCGAGGAAGGCAACGAACAACAAACGGTCAAAGAAAAATTCCAGCAAATACGCAGGTGAACAGACTCGATAAGATTTTGATAATTTTGGTGGCTGGTCATCTTTTCTTGCAGGTGTGCCGACCCAAGACGAAGCTCAACCGTGACCTGGTTGCCTCTGGCTGCTACGATACAACCAAGACCACAGCTAAGGTGGAATGGTCAGTTTCCACAGAAGCGGAGTATACCTTGAAAAACACCCTCGCAGCACAGGAGAGAAGCAACAACAACTCTACTTACATGAGTTTTCAGGCACATCAAGTAACAATACCCTACCCTCGAGCTTTCAACAGGAAGGTTAACTCAGCGAAATTGTTCTTTTTCAGAGAGTTTAAGACCGTTTGACAGATCACAGATTAGATGTGAAATGTCGCTGGAAGAAAGAATGTACCTCGATATGTTCGGCGGAACCAGCAGCAGTCCGGAAGGTTCGTATTTTGAGTTGTTGGTGTTTTGTGTTCGTGTTTTTTGGATTTGGCATTTCTTTTTTGGTGTTGTTTTCGTATGTTGCGTTAGTGTATGCGCCGTTTGTTGTTGTTGCTGTGTTGTTGTTGTTTATGCATTCTGTTATTGGTGGTAGTGTGTTGTTGTTGCGGATTGTGTGTTGTTGTTGTTTGTTGGTTGTTGTGGTGTTTTTGTTGGTAGTGATGTGTTGTTGTTTGTTGTTGGTGGTGATGGTGTGTTGTCACTTGTTGTTGTTTGTTGTTGGTGGTGATGGTGTGTTGTCACTTGTTGTTGTTTGTTGTTGGTGGTGATGGTGTGTTGTCAATTGTTGTTGGTGGTGATGGTGTGTTGTCACTTGTTATTGTTTGTTGTTAGTGATGTGTTGTTGTTGGTACCGTGGTGGTGATCTGTTGTTGTTGGTGGTGATCTGTTGTTGTTGGTGGTGGTGTTATTGTTTGTTGGTTGTGATGGTGTACTGTTGTTGTTGTTGTTGTTGTTGTTGTTGTTGTTGTTGTTGTTGTTGGTGTGTTGTTTGTTGTTTGTTATTGGTAGTTGTGTGTTGTTGTTGATGGTGGTGTGTTGTTGTTTGTTGTTGTTGTTGTTGGTGGTGGTAGTGGTGGTGATGGTGTGTTGTTATTGTTTGTTAGTTGTGGTGGTGGTTATGTGTTGTTGTTGTTGGTGGTGATGGTGTGCTGTTGTTGTTTGTTGTTGTTGGTGGTAGTTGTGTGTTGGTGGTGTCGTTGGTGTGGTGGTACTTGTGTGTTGTTGTTGGTAGTGGGGGTATGTTGTTGTTGTTTGTTGGGGGTATGTTGGTAGTGGTATGGTAGTGGTGTGTAGTTGTTGTTGCTGGTGTGTTGTTGTTGTTGTTTGTTGGTGGTGTGTAGTTGTTGTTGTTGTGTGTTGTTGTTGTTTGTTGGTGGTAGTAGTGTGGTGGTGTGTAGTTGTTGTTGGTGTGTTGTTCTTGTTCGTTGGTGGTAGTGGTGGTGTGTTGGTGGTGGTGTGTTGGTGGTGGTGTGTTGGTGGTGGTGTGTTGTTGGTGGTGGTGGTGATGGTGTGTTGTTGTTTGTTGGTAGTAGCAGTGTGTGGTGGTGGTGTGTTGTTATTTGTTGGTGGTAGGGGTGGTGGTGTTTTGTTGGTGATGATGATGGTGGTTGTGTGTTGTTGTTTGTGGTGGTGTGTTGTTGTTGGTGGTAGTGGTGTGTTGGGTGGTGGTGTGTTGTTGTTGTTGGTGGTGATGGTGTATTGCTATTGTTTGTTGGTAGTATATAGTGGTGTGTTGTCGGTGTGTTGTTGTTTGTTGGTGGTAGTGTATTGTTGTTGGTGGTGTGTTGGTGGTGGTAATGATGTGTTGTTGCTGTCTGTTGGTGGTAGCGGTGTGTTGTTGTTTGTTGGTGGCAGGGGTGGTGGTGGTGTGTTGTTGTTGTTGTTAATGGTGGGGTGTTGTTGTTGTTGTTGGTGGGTTGTTGCTGTTGTGTGGTGGTGTGTTGTTGTTTTTGTTTTGGTTGTCATTGTTGACAACACCACCAACAACCAACAACACCACCACCACCAACAGCAATAACAACACTACAACAACAACAACAACAATAACAACACTACAACAACAACAGCAATAACAACACTACAATAGTTTCCTTTCTGTATCTTTTACAGATTGCCGCATAAATGAAAGAACCGACAGAAAGAAGAGCGAAGAGGAACTTCAATTTTCTGAATTAATATTTGAAACCAAAAGCGGAGAAGATAGCGACGATCTGTCATGCTGCGATGGAGAGTCTACTGCAATTCACACAGAAGACCTCATACGTCGCGGTGTTACACGAAAAATTGGTAAATTTTATAATTATAACAAGAATTGCAGGAATCGAACTCAGAGGTGAAAAGCACATGCACTCACCATTGTGCTTTACCAATATCAACTTCAACATCAACTATTCATCTTATTTCTAGCGACCGAGATAACCTACGAGTGCCGTCACTTAGCAAGACAAGATAGCGAAAGAAATGCTAACCAATTGAAGAGCTCTCAATCGTCAATCAACTCTCAAACGGTTGCACAACATCTTGCCAAAACTGGGCAATTTGTCAGCGCAGAAACCTCCGACTCGAAGGACCATGCAAAAGAAGTCAGTGCTGCCCAGTCAAGTGTTGAACCTGAGAACCAGGTAAGAGAATCGAGGTCAACGAACTGGTGGTTACTGTATTCCAAGAGACGATTTTTGGGTACAGAAAACTAAAAGCATCGTTTGTTTTTATTATTTCATCTCCAGGAAGAAAATGCCAAGCCCAAAGGCAGCAAATTAAAGAAATTGAGACGAAAACGTCGAAAGGCAACCTCAAAAGTCGACCCCTCGGTCAGTGAGATCAACCCTTCGGTTAGTGAGATCAACCCAGCCCAAATGCCCTGCCCCCCAATGACGAAACCATCTGATGTTTACCAGATGTTTCAAAGCAAATCTCCTGATATTCACTACAGAGAAGTCTTATCTATCGAATCTATCGAGGAGGAAGACGATGGAGCTGCAAACGATGTTGAGAACACAAATGCAGCAGGTAGAGTATAGTCATATATAGCCCATTGTAGCGTTGAGCCAAGGCGGACATAGCTCGGAGCTGGACCAACCATAGCTCAGAACCAACTCGGAGGCGGACCAACCATAGCTCGAAACCAACTCGGAGCCCGACCAACCATAGCTCGGCACCAGCTCGGAACCAGCTCGGAGCCAGATCAACCATAGCTCGGCACCAGCTCGGAGCCCGACCAACACTAGCTGGGAGCCCGACCAACCTTAGCTGGGAATAACCTCGAAGACGAGCGAGCCTAGCTCGGAACCATCTCGGAGTAAAACCAACCATAACTCGGAATCGGCTCGAAGCCCGACCAACCACAGCTTGGAACAAACTCGGAGCCCAACCAACTCTGGCTCGGAGCCCGACCAACCATACTATAGCTCGGAGCTGGGCCAACCCCAGCTGGACCAAATAGCTCGGACTCGGAGCCCGACCAACCATAGTAGGAACCAGCTTGCAGTCGGACCAACGGTACCTCGGAATTCGACCAACCCCAGCTCGGAACCCCTATATTACTACCAAAGACTATTTCCGCCAGACGACCTATGGTTGCACTTCTCTCGGTCGCTCCTGATCGGGTCGAAAATTGTATATATATATTTTTCGCTTAGATTTGACAACTTATTATTTACATTATATAGCATCAGCCGTGGAAAAGACAAAGAAGTCAACCAAATCGCTAAAGTTTTGGAAACGTGGAAAAACCAAAGTCAAGAGGTTTAAACCACCACGTGAAACCAACGAACCTTCCGAAGAGGACAAGGTTTCCAACGACAAGGTTTCCAAGTCGAAGTTCAACATCTTTAGAAAGAAAAAGAAAACTCCAGTGAAACCATTCAAGAAGGAACAAGATGTTGGGGGTAAAAGACACGACGAAATGGCACAAAGTAAAATTGTCAGCAGTTGTTATGCCCACGCCAAAGAGCATGTACACAAAGAAGTAGATCGTCCAGTTTTGCTTTCAGTCGAACAAGCAGGAGTGACTAACTTTTAAAACGACTAACTTTTAAAACGTGTAGGACGTTCCAACACGCTTCAAAACGTTCCGACACGTTTTAGAACGTTTTAATGAACAGCAGCCATCTGAACGCCGACGATCGTTCGACTCCCAAAGACGAAGACATCGGTGCAGCGCCCACCAGAAACTTTTAAGCAGCAGACGTTAGTTCCCGAAGACTGTCTTGAAAGCCTATCGGGATCTAACTGGTGAAATTGAATATGAACTTTCAATGGTACATTTAAAACAAAGTACCAAACTATTTCATGTACACTATTTTTTATTACTATTCTAAAATAAATCTTATATTGTTTATATACCGAAGTGTTATTTAATTTGTTTTTTTATGAATTCCAAGCTTGAAATTCCCAAATCCTGCAAATCATTGCTACCCAACCACCAACGAGTGTTAGTTCTATCGAGCAAAAAATCTCATGAACTATGCCCTACCTTAGCTGTCGTTTTGGGTAGTTTTTGAATCAATACACCAATTGTGACCCAGTCTCCTTCAATGTCATTATTGCGAATCTTAGATTGAATGGAAGATACTTTGATGAGTTTTCTTCCTTCCATTCGTCTCTCCATCGCAGTCGACGAAATAAGAGGATTCCTGTAAGAATATTTGGAAAGTCAGGCTACTAAACTTTAGTGATGCATACATCTTAGCATGTACATGTACAGCCGGGTGTACCAAACCAGTGAAATAACGTATTGTTAGAATTTGAATGCCTCAGCACTCTGCTGAACACACACGTGCATAAAAGCTTGACATGAGTAAATGTTATGCATAAAGAAACTATTTAAGAAGCTGCTTTAAATTCCCAATAGCAGAAAATCCTGCGCTTTACAAAGACATTTTAATATGTTAATAAGTCAATATTATAATATATGCACCCTGTCAACATTTTAAGCATCTTTGCGTTCAGCTTAGTGCTAAGGCATTCAAATTCTAACAATACGTTATTCCAATAGTTTGGGGGTTTGGGGGACACCAGATGTATATACATGAACTTGTGGTTAGAGCTCGACAACTTGCCTCTGTAGCTCAGTTGATTAGAGCTCGACAACTGTCTCTCTGTAGCTCAGAGCTCGACAACTGTCTCTCTGTAGCTCAGTTGGTTAGAGCTCGACAACTGTCTCTCTGTAGCTCA